CTGCCTGCTTTCCACAGGAATTTGTAGACATGAGTTCTGGGGATGCTTTTGTATGGGTCAGCTGTGGGGAAAATGTTTTGTTTCATGACAAATGCTGGCTTTGCTCTTGGTCAATTCCGCATATGGTATTTTGGACTGGTGATTTGTCTTCACTCTTATGCTTGACACTGACTATTCCATGTGCTGTTTGGACTCTTCCCTAATTTTTAGTCTGTGGAGGTTACCAACACCTCTCTCTCTCTCTCTCTCTCTCTCTCTCTCTCTCTCTCTCTCTCTCTCTCTCTCTCTCTCTCTCAGATGATTTCCTTCTAATAGTAACTGAGAGCTACATAATATTATACTTCCCAGGGGCTCAGGAAAGAAAACTACAAAGGGCGAGGAGTATTTTTGGGAAATAGAATCTCAGCACACCGAGCTCTTTGGTCTGCTTGCTTTAATGCCACTCGGATAACATCCTTTATACACAGTTCTGTTCTCGTGCCTGCCTCCTTTCTTGCCTGATTTCTCTCAATATTTATCTATTGCTCCCTCTAAGTTCTATCTTAATTCTCTTGTCTTAATTCTGTCTCATCTAGGTCCTTTTCATCTTGTTCTTACCCAGCTAGTACTTACCTATCTGGCTCTTCCTCATCTTCCATCTTGTCCACACCTTCTCTATGGTCAAAATCCTCCTTATCTCTCTTGGTTCTCCGCCTCTGAGTTCTCTATGTTCCTCCCAAGTCACTCAGGAATCCATTTATAAACCCAAGCAATAGCAATCCTCTGGCAGAGGAAGGTCATCAGGCTTGAATTCTTACTGGGTCATAAAGGCAGGTAAGAATTTTCCTCAGGCAGTGACCACCAGGCTTTATTTTACAATCCAAAATGGGAGTGTCAAAAGAGGAGGTCAACTGAGTGCTAGTGACCAGTTAGTATATCAAAAAGGGGATCTATATGTTGTACATTCTGAGAAGTAGTTAGGTAAGAAGTTAGGGGTCTATAAAGTTAGTAAGGCTGTAAGAAAGGAGGGTCCAAGTTAAATTGCGTAAAGTAATTACTTAAGATCTACCTGACCTAGGTGATGTCTCCTTGTGGAATTTACCTCAAATCAGGTGACTAGTATGTGGTGGTCTGGACTATTATTTCTGTTAGTCCTTGATTGTGGTGAAGGGAGATATCTGATTCCAGTGCTGAAAGGGGAGAAATGGATGGGCTGTGGGGAAGGAAGCCTTTCCTGAGGCTGTTCTCCAAATACCTTGAATGTGTATGTCCAAAGAGGACCAGTCCACACTGTTAGGAATTCTTAGGGAAAAATCAATTGAGAAAGCTATGAAGGCACACATGATTTTCATAACAGAAGACAGCTGATATATAACAAACCAAATAACACCAAATGCTCCTCGGAATTTGTCTTCCTCTGCAGGAATTCCTTGACCTCTCAGGTAGTGGCTTTGCCATAACCAGCTGAGTTCTTATAATCTATTCCTGTGACCCATAGGAGATATATCTGCTTACCATGGATGATTCCTGCTCTAGTGAACAGGGGCTAGAAGATGGTGATGGATTTGGGGCTGTCAAGGAACATCTTTCCTAATTTAAGCCTGGAGATATGTGAGGGAGGCATAAAATGAGCTACAGAATTAGCTTCTTGGACTTGGCTCTACTATTTACTGGGTTATTTTTATTATTTATTTATTTGTGTGTGTGTGTCTGTGTCTGTGTCTGTGTGTCTGTGTTTCTGTCTGTGTGTATGTTTGAGTCATCTTTAGATTACTTAGATTAATCATTTTAAATACAAACCAACTTTTTTATAGGTAAACATAAGTGGGGGAAAAGGTCATTTTTCCTGGTAAGCTTGAAGCAGAAAATTCCATCAATAAGTTTTTTGAAGATCTGCTTTCAAATCAGTATGTATGCATCAAACTTTCAATAGTGTATGACTGTTACTAGTAACTGTTTATTATTAATAAACCCTCAAAATTCTTGATTTATTTGCTCCATTTTTCCAAGAAAGGAGGATGAATTCTTTTAAGTTTGTCTTCACATTTTATCTATGAGCTAGCATATACCTGCATTTTGCCAGTGGAGAAACTGAAGCAAGGTGGTTCAGGAATTGACCCCAAATCACATTAATTGGAGTTTCCCAGGTGTGTTAGTAGACACAAAGTCCCTTGGTGCTACAGTTCAGGCTTATTATTCTGTCCTAAATTAGGAGCACATAGGATAGGTTTACCTGCATGCCAAGGCCAGTGCTGTAGATGTCTCCAATGATGCCATCATCTTTGATCCTCAAGCTGATATTATCCACAAGAACCTTCAGTGCCTCACCAAACAGGTCTCTGTAATTTTCCTGAGAACCTACAGGAATCCTGTTGTACATGCAAGTCAGGGCCAAGGTTGCTACTGCTCCTGTGTCTGAAAGACAGAGGAAAGACAGATCCCCACCACAATCACCACCACAGCCAATGTTCACCAGGTGCTTATTGTGATCTAGTGACAGGACCTCCTTTAGTTCTTGGGATCACTAGTGAAACAGGATTTATGAGTATCTTCATTTAAGAGATGAGGAAGTGGGAGTTCAGAGCAGTAAAGGAACTGCCCAAGGCCACACAGCCAGGAAGCAGGGCCAGGCTTTAAAACAAATGTACACCACTGGACAGCTCCAGACTTTGAAACTTTAAATAGTGTAAATGGCAGTGTGTTCAATCCCACTTCTTTCATGTCGAGGTTGATCTTTTGAGATGTCAGCAGTTCTGGAAGGCACAGCTGTCACACCTCAGTGAAGGCATCTTGGTCTTCCCAGCACAGCAGCCTGAGTCTCTTCAGCATTTGTAGTTTATGACTGTTTTGCTCTGTCAGCTTGCTGTTGAGGCTTGTGGAAGTGAGTGAAAGCCTGAGATGATATGGCTTGGAGGGAGGCAGAGGGCCATGACAGTGAGTCCATGCCAGGGGCCCCAACAGAGGAAAGATCATTACACACAGAAAGGTTGAAAGAAGGAAATAGCATCACAGTGGAAAAGGATTCCATTCATAAGCAGCCCAGTGTGGGTAACACAAAGGGATAAGAAGGTCCCTGTGTTGGCTTCAGAAAATAGCTGTTTGTAGAAAGGGCATTTGCATGGAAAAAGGAGAAACATCTTGAAATATACAGAATATGGGAGAATTGGTATACATTAAGGAGTGCAGGGTAGGGGTGAGGCAAGACATCTATCTCCATTTTATTTGAAAATAAGTTCTAACTTGTGTGACATATTTATTGTCCTACTGGAGGTCTGTCCTTAACTCACAAGTCCAACAAACATTTGTTCAATGTTTTTCATCCACCCCCACCTGCATGGCTCCCAGCTCTACCTCCATGGAAGGTTTTTCTCCTTTGCTTCCCCCTCCATCACTACCTCTTGTCTACTGTGACTCTGATACTCTCACCTTGGT